ATTCCTATTTCAAAGGAACTAAGACTAGCTACAGGAAGAAACGCGCTTTCGGGAAGTGCTCCTTGTTGATAACAAAGCCTACGCTTATGATCTTTGCGGAACGCTTTGTGTCACAAGGAAGGGCCAAACTAATGTTACCGAAAACACAAACCTCTGGCCAGATCTCAACAAATCAGACTCAGAAGCCCACAAAACGTTCAGCACTCTCAGGTCGAATAAGGTGTGAGTCCGCTCTACTTTAGCTTCTGTGAGTCCGTTGCTCCCTAGCGGACAATCGTCTTCTTTTATGATCAGTAAAGAAATCTCCTATCTGTGCTTATCGATATTTTACTTCGCCCTCCATTTCAGGCAGCTCTCTCGATCACAAAGATCAGTTCGGCTACTCATTCTGGCTCTCGGCATGTGCTTTGGTCCTGGCGGCTGCAGACACCGTCATCGCTGCTGCCATAGTCTGTCTAAGTGGATGCTGTCTCTGAGCACAGGGATTACCATGTTGAAATACGATACGATATTTGGGATTGCTGTGCGAGAAAAGGCCACAGTGATTGCAATTATCTGGACAAAAACTATTTGTGATATTTTGGGCCTACATTTACGGCTTCAGAGCGCAAGAAAATGCGAATAATCTGTTTTACGTTGAGTGCTAACGATTTCCTCATTCGAGCGCCCATTCCTTAGACAACCCGTCCTTCAGTTCAAGATATCTACACTTTGTGAGAGGAAAAAAAACCTAGGAAAATTATTCCGAGTTGAAGTCCGTCAAATTGAACACCTTATCCTCCAATTCCCGTCAAAGAAGGGAGTCCATTTTTATTTCATAGGCGCTCGCTAACCTTCAAAAAATTCGACTAACCGAGTGAGTGGCGTTTCCATTGATTACTGAGAGGATTACTGAAAAAGTGTGTATACGGTGGTTATCTGCCAGGCATTGTCCAGTTGGATTGAGAAGGGCAAAATCTTCTAAAAGGTGATTTCCGCACTACGCGATGACATGATAGATGGAAATAGCCATCTCGCCCACTTATTTTGTATCCTCTATGTAAGGTGGCAAGGAGGAAAAGCGCGTCAATGAGGTGGCTCTCTTGCCTCGACCATTCTTCGATCAGCTCGAAATGTAAGCTTAACCATTCCTTCCTAATCACTTATCCAGATAGAGTCTCGGTTTGTTAAAAGCTCACTAATACAATATTTATTTCCGAGCTCTCTTCTGTTTACAAACGAGATCGGAAG